TGCCATTCCGTGCAGTTGCACCTTCTGAACAAATAAAAGCTTTTTCGCCTCCTAATCAAATGGACTGCCATTTTTTAAACTGCGATTCATCTCTTTCCATCGTCATATCTCGCAGAGATCAACTACATTGGCAACGATCCCTTACCTTTCCTGCGTTAGTTGGTTAGACGTTTCTTCCCTCGTCAGTTTTCTACAGTTGTATGTACAAACGGTGAGGGATGTTCAGGTCAGCAGACGGCGGCCCTTCTCCTGGGATTCTTAGCAGCTTTTCTTCAGTCATTTATCGAACTGCCGCCGTGAAGCGGGTCAGAGTGAAGTTCATTTATTCGTGTTGTCACAGCGCATGAAGTTTTGTCACCTGCTGACAGATCTGACCGTGCCGGAAAAGGACATCAGTCCACCCATTAGTAATAGTTTGTAAGTAGAAAGCGGTTATAATTTTGGAAGAATTATTATTTATTAATTAAATTATCATTTTATGAAGAGTTTTCGGAACCCAAAACGGTGTTCCGTCGTCGAAGTGCAAGCAACTGAAGTCGAGTTCATTGCAATGGTAAATAGGAACTACGACCTTAGAGCAACTTTTCAGAAGATAAATACAAAACAAGCGATATATTCGTGTGCAATGATACTAGCCATTGAAGAAAGCGCATTGTTTTGGGTTCCATATTCCTCACCCTAGAAATAATTCAAAATGTTTCATTGTTTTTTTAACTTTGTTCTTCCTTAAGATTAAATCAAGGTGCAACCGGTGGAACATATTAAGAACACGCATTGGGAACGAGGTGGGCTTAAAACTCCGGAGAGAAAAGTTTTTTTCTTAGCCACGGGTTCCCCTGAGAAGGAAATCTGAATAACGTTGCATTTACGTAACTAGCCGAAAAATGAGTAGAAGGTCATTGGCTTGGCGAACATTCTAAACAACTTGGCATTCTGGTTTGATCGTATCAGAATGGATGAGGTGTTCGGCCATGCCATCCATGTGCGCCTCTTGTTGCTGTACTTCACAGTGCCTCACCTGATAGTTGACTGTAAATATTATGATCTGCAGGAGGTGTAACCAAAAATGACCAAGATATTCACAGTATATAAAAGCCTAGAAAAAATTGAAAAGCTAGAGTGATCTGCTAGAATTTTTCGCGAATAGAAATGCTCACGTCCATGATCGAAAACAAGACAAGATCCGAAAGAATCATGACTTCATAAAGTACCGGATTTTTCTTAGTATTCAAGTCTTTGCAAGTGCTATAGAGTCATTAGTTCGAATCGATAAATAAATGATTCCAGAAGTAGTATCAAAATTTGCGGCTTGGCAACAGCCTATAAAGGCAGCAGAACTCTCAGAGTTTCAAATGTTAACTCACCTGAATTTCTCGAATGCGCTCTGATGCTGAGTTGTGAGGTTTGGCAACCAACATACGTATTTAATGTTAGCGTGTGATCGCAAGGCAAGGCTACGGTGCTGTCGTATGGTTCAGCGGTATTTTTAAAATTAATTTTAAATTTCAATTTATGATCTACCCAATGTATTTACCTTTATTCAACTACAAGCTTGACAAAGAAGAATTGTAGCCGCAAGGTATGATGTTGGTATGCATGGTCGTTTGCCGCACATGGGACATTCATGGCGTTAATGTGCTGAAACATCAGAATAGTGTCCGTGCTGTTAGCAATTTAACAATTTGCAACCCATTTCTCGAGTGGTTGCACTGAAACATAGTTGGGTGAAAGTTTTGTTTAAGAGGATCAAAGTTTAATCCAAACCCCCACACTACTGAACTGCCATGCAAACTTTTGCCACAACGCAGCTGCCCCATGCATGTCCCATACATGAAAAATCGTTGTTTCTATCACTCGGACATGAAAAGATAATGGTCGAGTGACTCAGGCTAGAAAAAACTTGTCGTTCGCCACTAATTTGTATCTCTCATATTTCTACCTAACTGGATTATAGTGTGCAGGTACGCTGCCTCTTTGCACATGTTGCTCTTGTGGCTTTAATGTTCTTGCGTGTGATGCCTCTTGATATAAGTTAGTCTTATTAATTTATTTTTTGTTTTGTGCATATGAATTTATTGCTGTAGACAATACCGCGTGGTTGATGCAATGGATTCACAGAAAAATTTCGACTGTTTTCCGATATTTGATACATAGGTCATACATCTGCCATTGCTCAGACAAATATTTATATTATCTGCAACGGCATTAGTTTTTCCTTTTCTCTTTTAATACCGGATTGAAGCGACGTACTAGCAATGTGCTAGTAAACCTGTGAGATCGGGTTTTATTATTTTATGTATAAGCATTAGTTTTCTGTTATGAAAATTTTATTTTTTAATTCCTCTACTGTACGGCAATGGTATTCCTTCTGAAATTATTTTAAAAGAGT